GTGGTTACAGTTCTTTTTTTCCCACACTCTGTACTCTGTAGTGCTTTTCTCAAGAATTAGTTTTTCCATTTCTCCTGGGGAATAATTCCTTAGTTTGACCATGGAGGAATGTATGTGCAAATATCCATAGTCTTTTTTTTCCAGTCTGATATTCCTACTCTTCATAACCCTTTACATTAGCATAAACAGCCCCTCTTCATCCTAAGTCAAGTATTTCTGGATGGTATTTTTTTTCTCTTCCATTTATTAAGTTCAGAGCTTGTTTTTCTGCTTTGCTTTCTCTCTTCATCAATCAGTCCCTAAAGCCCATTAATCATTTTTTTTACCTCGCTGAAAGCTTCTTTGCTTATTCCCATATCAGGAACCCAGGGCTGGTTGAGGTCCCAAGGTACTGAAGAAGCCTCACTGATATGTGCTTATTCTATCCTCTATCTCTCTTGTCCCCCACCCCCAGCCTCAGTTCGCAACCCACAAACTGTTTTCTACAAAAATATTTCTACATTATGATTTGGGGAATTAGTCATATTACTCATCGCAAGGCCGTGTGTGTGTGTGTGTGTGGTGTGTGCACACGCATGTGGTTTTAAGTGGTAAGATTATATTTGTTCTCAGTTACTTAAAAGATATTTTTCATATCCTTGGAGCCACAAATCTTTCAGGTCTCCTGAGTGCTTGGATTGAGTATAATTCTGGACCATGGAGCTATGATGTATCAGTAGAATGTAGCATTCTATTTTAGAGCTGTCATCTCAGAAGTAGAGAGGAAAATAAGCAGATATGGGGAAAACAGACTGTATTTGTAGGATTTAGGATTCTTGGGAAAAGGGAAAAGCAAAATTTAAATAGCCTTGGCCCACACATACCTAAAGAAGATTAGCTCTTAGAAGCTAGTGTTAGGTATATACACTTTTTATTATGTCACTTTCTTTTTTTTTTATATCTCAATTATATTGAATTATAATTGACAAATGAAATTGTAAGATAGACTTATTTTGCTTAGCATAATACCCTCTGGTTCCATCTACATCGTTGCAAATGGCAAGATCTCATTTTTTTTGGTGGCTTTTATCATATAATCTCACTGATATGTGGAATTTAAGAAACAAAATAGAGGATCATAAAGGAAGGGAGAAGAAAATAAAACAAGATGAAATCAGAGAGGGAGACAAATCACAAGAGACTCTTTTTTTTTTTTAAAGATTTTATTTATTTATTTGACAGAGAAAGAGACAGTGAGAGAGGGAACACAAATAGGGGGAGTGGGAGAGGGAGAAGCAGGCTTCCCGCTGAGCAGGGAGCCCAATGAGGGGCTCGATCCCAGGACCCTGGGATCATGACCTGAGCCAAAGGCAGACGCTTAATGACGGAGCCACCCAGGTCCCAAAAGACTCTCAATCATAGGAAAGAAACTGAGTGTGGCTGGAGGGTAGAGGGGGCCCAGGGATGGGGTAACAGGGTGATAGACATTAAGGAGGGCACGTGATGTAATGAGCACTGCGTATTATATAAGACTGATGAATCACTGACCTCTACCTCTGAAACCAGTCATACATTATATGTTAATCAATTGAATTTAAATTAAACAATAAAAAAATAAGAATAAAAAGAAATTGTAAGATATTTAAAGTGTACATCACAGTGATCTGATATACATATGTGAAAGGGCTCCCTCCGCCTGGTTAATTAACACACCATTACCTTACGTGTTTATCTTCATTTATTTGTTTGTTTTGGGTGAGAATATTTAAGTTCTACTCTCTTAGCAAATTACACTTATACAATACAGTGTTATTAACTGTAATCACCATGTTTTACCCTAGATCCTCATATGCTATAGGGCTTCCTGGATTGGGAGACCTAATATTATAAAAACACCCAAAGCAATCTATAGACTCAATGCAATCTCAATCAAAAATCCTAACGGTTTTTTGGGTTTTTTTTTTCCTCTTGGAACTTGACAAGGTGATTCTAAAATGCATAGGGAAGGGATGCCTGGGTGGCCCAGTTGGTTAAGCATCTGCCTTCGCCTCAGGTCATGATCCCAGGGTCTTGGGATCGAGCCCCACGTCAGGGTCCCTGATCAGCGGGGACCCCGCTTCTCCCTCTGCTGCTCCCCCTGCTTGTGCTCTCTCTCTCTGATAATAAATAAATAAATAAAATCTTTTAAAAAATAAAATGTGTAGAGAAGTATAAAAAGCCAAGGATGGGTAAGCTAGTTCTTAAAGATGAAAGTAAAAAGACATGCTCCCAAGACTTACTAAAAAGGCACTGTGGTACTGATCAGAGATACACACACAGACCGATGGGACAGAATAGAAAGACCAGATATGGACACAAGCATAAAAAGATGCTTGATTTATGACAGAAATGACATTCAAGGTAATGGTCGGGGCGCCTGGGTGGCTCAGTCGTTAAGCATCTGCCTTCGGCTCAGGTCATGATCCTAGGGTCCTGGGATCGAGCCCACGCGTCGGGCTCCCTGCTCCACGGGAAGCCTGCTTCTGCCTCTCCCACTCCGCCTGCTCGTGTTCCCTCTCTCGCTGTGTCTCTCTCTGTCAAATAAATAAAATCTTTAAAAAAAAAAAAAGAGTAATGGTCAAAGCCAACCTTTTTCATAAATGGCACTGGAACAATCGGATATCTCCATATGGGGAGAAAGAAAGAAAAGGAATTGGATGCCTACCTTACACCATATGCAAAAAACTCCAAATTGATACAGACTTAAATGTCAAAGATAAAACTTTAAAGCATACTCACATATGCTTTATATATGCTTTATATATGTATAAACACTCTTATCTTCATGACCTCGAGGTATTGAAAGAGTTCTTGTATGCCATAAAAGTCTGTAGTCAAAAATTATACATTTGGTAAAATTAAGGCTATCTCTTCATTAAAGATAACATAAAGAAGACAAATAGCTACACAATGAGAGAATATATTGGCCATACATGTAATTGATAAACTATTAGTATCCAGGATATATAAAAATACCTAAATCAATAAAAAGACAATCCAATCTGAGAAAAATAGGCAAAATAACTTCAGTAGGCTCTCCACAGAAGAGGAAATAAAAATGGCCAATAACCATGAGTTCTCAACTTCTTTAATTATCAAAGAAATGCAATTAAACCATCATGCAATTAAACCACCTCGTATCCACCATATTAGCTCAAAATAAAAATACTGGCAGTGTTGATGAGGATGAGGAGCAACAGAAATTGATGGTAGAAATTGCAATATGTTACATATTTTGGAAGGGTTTAGCATACTGTAGTACACTTGAAGATACATAATGCATACCTTAGGACCCAGCAATTAGGTATATACACTAGAGAAAGTTGGTGCACAGAACACAAAGATACATGTATAAGAATGTTCTTTTTTTTCTCTCCATAAGTTATTTTTTGGAAATTGGCAAGCCTACAGAAAAGTTGCAAAATTAATACAATGAATTTCATAAAGCCTTACTGGATAGTAGCTAGTGGAAAGAACATACATGGGCTTTGAAGTAAGTGATACTGGCTTGATATCTCAACTTCACCACTTACTAGCTGTGTGACCATGGGCAATCTCTAAAGATCAGCGAGCCTCAGTTATCTCATCTGTAAATCAGAGGTAATAAAATGCCTACCATATTGGGTATTGTAAGGATTAAACACATTAATGCATACCAGGCCCTGAGCATAAATGCCTGCAACATAGTTGTCCAGCAAATTATGGCTGCCATTATTAATATTTTGTTGCTGTTGTTAAAAATGATGGCTCATTTTATTTCTTCAGAACCTCTTAATGAGAGCACATTTACTGATATATATTCATTTTTCGTGTTTCACTACAGAATGCAAAATGATTCAAGAGAAAAATAACATTTTTTCATCCTGTATTACTTTTTTCCTTCTCATTTATTTATTACAATTTCAATATTAGAAAGTGCAAACCAGTAGGAAAACATGCCATAAATTAAAAAAACATTTAACAAAAATGTTTTTATAATTTAAAAAAATTATACAGAACTAAAAAACTCCCTTTGAAATAAAAGTATGATTTAACAAAAGTAAAAGGAAACTGAAGCACAAAAAAGTTAAATAACTTGATCAAGAAGCAATATTAGAAATAGAGTGTAGGTTTTCTAATTTCTAGCCCAAAATCCTACACACTAAGTTGTAATATCAGCAATTATTTCTAAAGAAAACTGAATTAAGTAAGTAGCAGTAGCCTTCAGCCCTAATGCTGTGACTTCCTTGCCTTAACTACAAAATGAATGAAATCACATGTAAAACCCTCCAGGCCCCTTTAATCTCCAGTGAAATTTGATTCTGTGTCTGAAGTCTTTCTCACTGACCCCCAGATCCACAGTCATCTTTTCCTCTTGGGAACTCTGCCTGTACCCCACTATTTATGTTTGCAAACTGCTTATGATCATGTTGCCACGCTGTACTGTTACATATCTCTTCGTAAACATATCCTCTATCTCCAGTTAGATTGCACTGCTTGGGGTTGCAGACTTTCTTATGTGCCTTTGTATTTATATGTCTTTGAGTACAAAAAAAAAAAAAAAAATCCAGAACTCAGAGAGGGAGACAAACCATGAGAGACTCTGGACTCCGGGAACCAAACTGAGGGCTACAGAAGGGGGGGCGGGGGGAGATGGTGTAACCGGGTGATGGGTATTAAGGAGGGCACATGTGGTGATGAGCACTGGGTGTTATATGCGACTAATGAAACATTGAACACTACAACAAAAACTAATGATGTACTATATGCAGGCTAACTGAACATAAAAAAAGAAAAAAATCAAGCCACATTTTAAATTTCATTTTCTGTCCCTAATAGCTCCTAATATAGTGCTTTGCACAGACACAAAATAAATGCATAAGGATAATGACTGTCAGATTGCAGTTGTAAGAAGTAGAACTAGTCAGCATTGCTACAGTAACATGGGCATAGGATTCATGGATTCTGCCTTGAAAGCAAATGCTTGTTTTCGTCTGTTCCAGAAAGATGCTGTGAAGCGAGTATTCTCTGGCATTCAGCCTACAGGAATCCCCCACCTCGGCAATTACCTGGGAGCCATTGAGACCTGGGTGAGGTTGCAGGAAGAACATGGCTCAGTGCTGTACAGCATCGTTGACCTACACTCCATCACTATCCCCCAGGAGCCGGCCGTCCTTCGGCAGAGCATCTTGGACATGACTGCTATTCTTCTCGCCTGTGGCATTAACCCAGAGAAGAGCATCCTTTTCCAACAATCTCAGGTTAGCTTCTCACATTAGAACCAAGAAAACTTGTATTTTCAAAGTATTTGAGGAAAACTTTGAAGGAAAATTTATATAGCTCCTGTTTGTGATTCTTTTAAAATTGTTCAAGAGTGACTTCATCAGCTGCGATGATTTCATCTTCATGTTTACCCTATATTCATATCTTTAAACGTCATCATAATGCAAATAGTATTTTTCACCTTTTCCTCCACTATTCTTATTTCGTAAACCAAAATGTTGCATCTCATTAGTACTTGTAAGTCTGAAATTGTTTTTCTCTGCTTGGTTGCATCCAAACTGCTGAATTCATACTATTGACTAATCTCCTGGTGATCAAGGATAGAATTTAGCAACCAGTGGTTTTGCATAACTTCAGTGTTGCTTTACTGGGTATTGCATTTGGAAGTCCTATTGGATAATTCCCATTGTTCCTTCTTTGTATAATAGCTTTTGAGAAGACTTGAGAGAACTAGCTGGGAAATTGGAAGACAATGTCCAGTCTCTTGAGTCCAAGCCAAGAAAGGCTTCAGAACAAAGCCAAAATATTTGACTGATATCGTCACTATGGATGAATCAGTTTATTCTTGGACGGGCAGACAGTCTGGACCAGACAGGGCACTTAAGAGACTCCATAGCAAGGAAGATGAAAAATTTAACTGGATCATGCCCTCACTGCATATCTGCTTGAACCTTGTGACAAAGCCACAGCCCAGGAACAGTATGTTATACATGTTTGCTACATGTTAACATGTATGCATGTGTGGTATGGGTTATCCATGTGTGTACCTCTTGCCTTGATCATAAACTTCTGACAGTCGCCGTTTTTATGTATGTGTTATCACCCACAGAACTTAGTATAATGATTCACAGAGTGACCCTTTAAAAAAAATATGTAAGAGATGAATATCTTCAAAAATAAATATATTTATCAACTTAAAAGTTGTTTCCAGCTTGGAAATAATGTGATAATAGAATCTGACCATTAAAATGTCCATAAAGGCAATCTACCTCCATTTCCTTCCTCACATTCAGTCAGAGAACCTTTACGTACACATAACTTTTCAAATTCAATCTTGGACTGATCTAATTGTTTTAAATATATAAATATACTTGCTTATGTTGAGCAGATATGTGTCTCCCTATAATCTCCATCCACTCATTTTGCTTATGCTCTCTAAAAATACTTAGTAAATCAACTCTGTCTCCCACATGACTGCTCTTCAAATACTCAGAGACATTTGTTACATAGTAGCCTTACCCTACAGGTCCTTACCCCATAGGTCTTGCCTTCTTCAAGCTAGTTGTCCCACCTCAGGAGCTCTCTCGCCATCTGTTTGAAAGAAATGTGCCTGTCCTAGTTCCTGAAACAGTGTTTATTCACACTCTTTAAGTCTGTCTCCGACATCATAATACTGATCATCATTAGAACCACTTTGTAGGTTACCTGATACATTTTCATTTCATCTAAGCTGTTTTTGAGACAAACTCCCTTTTGATCCTTATGTGTTACCATTTCTAAAAATCGTATTCCCAGTGCCTATTTCCATACTTCTGGAAGGCGCAAATGTCTACATCTCCACAAAGTAACCCATTGCCAGACTGCTTTGTTAAGTGATGTTTAAAATTAAAGGCTCATTTCAGCCACATTCATTGCTTGCACTTTGAGCTCATACCCCCAGGAATGATAACCACATTATAATTTTTGGCAGTGACATCCGCAAGCACTTAAAATTTGCAATAATTGAGGTCTCTTCTTCAACATGGTACTTAGTTGTTCAAAACAGCAATTGAAAGGGTCGCCCACAGTGTGGGAGACTTTGTAAGAATTCCCTCATAGATGAGGGATCATGAAAGTCACCTTCCTTTTGTTTTTTTTTTATGTTATGTAATGAGCTCTTTGGTTCCCGTAGTGGTTGTGGGTCTAGGTCAGAGAGGGCAGGTCACTGGTGTTACCTGTTTCCTCGGTGCCCTCATGCAGCTCCACACTGCCTCACTGGTCCCTCGCTCCCGTCCTGGACTGCAGCTCCCTCCAGGGAGTTTGGGTAGCCTCCCAGGAAAATGTGAGGGAAGTACTCATCTGCTCACAGTCTACACTTTGTCCCACAAAGACAGTGTGCAAGACTTCCTCAGGTGTCTTTCTGACCTCAAGACATATTTGGTCTGGGCCATTCCCTTTTTTAACTCAGGCAACCAACCTTAATACAACTCAGTGGATAGACTGGGTATTTTATCAGGTTTTCTTTCCTTTTTTAAATACTTAATAAAGAAAAATTTAAATATGTATGGAAGAGTAGGGAGAATCATGTACTGTACCCCCCATCACTTACTAGCATTTTGTAATTTGTCTCATCTTTGTTGTTTTTTGTTGTTGTTGAAGTCTTTTTTTTTTTTTAAGATTTATTTATTTATTTGAAAGAGAAAGAGAGAGAGTGTGCACACAAGAGAGGGAGCGGCAGAGGGAGAGGGAGAGAAAGTCTTAAGCAGACTCTGCACTGAGCATGGAGCCCAGGGCAGGGCTTAAAGGGGATACTTGTCATGGGGCTCAATCCCACAACCCTGAGATCACGACTCTGAGTCAAAACCAAGAGTCGGATGCTTAACTGTCTGTACCACCCAGGTGCCCTGGTTGTGGCTTAAGTATTTTAAAACAGATAACACACATCATGGCATTTCAGTCCCTAAATATTTCAGTGTACCTCTCCATAAACTGAGGAAATTTTCTTACATAACCACCATACTGTCATCACACCTAACAAAGCTATGAAAATTCCATATGATCATCTAATATCCAGTCCATATTCAAATTATGCTGATTCTCCCAAAATGTCTTTTATATTTGGCTTGTTTAAATAATGATCCAATGAAGGTCCACACATTACATTTTTTTCGTATCTTTTTATTTGTTGCTGAAGTCTTATTTCCCCTAAAGTTGATCCTGCATTTGAAAAGAATTAAAAACTTAGATTTTTAGGGGGCGCCTGGGTGGCTCAGTGGATTAAGCGTCTGCCCTTCAGCTCAGGTCATGATCCCAGAGTCCTGGGATCAAGCCCCACATCGGGGCTCCCTGCTGAACAGGGAGCTTCTCCCTCTCTCTCTGCTGTTCTCCCCCACTCTCTCTTTCAAATAAATAAATAAAATCTTTAAAAAAAACTTAAGATTTTTATACTCCCACTTTTTTTCATGCCTTTGATATGTTAATCGGGTTTCCTTTTATTTAGTATAAAATTAGCTCTTTTGAACACAAAAATAGACCTTATAATTTTTTGTTGCTTTCTCTTTGTGCTGATGTATATTGGCTGATGGTTATTGGCTATAAACTACCATTCATATAGTTGCTCATCACCATTTTTGATAGTTTGAATAGAAACTCTGCTTACCTAGTGCCCATAGAATGCCCGGACATCAGTTCCTTCAAAGCAGCCGTGAAGCTTCTGCTTGTTCAAGGAGGATGGTGGGAAGATCTTCCTTATGCTAGAAAGTATGAAGGCATGTACTGGATTTGCTTCTTAGAACCATTCTCAAGTAGGAGTATAATCGGATAAGCTAGTGTCCCTGAAACAGTGATTGTTCTAGACAGCTGGCCCCATATTTGCAGTGTTCTAGTAGGTGGAAGAATCCTCGTGGTGTCTGTGTTTTGTGTCTTATCATACAGTAGTTAACAACTGCCTTTTTCAGTCTGTGGAGTCTCTAAGAGATGGGGACTGAAAAGGAAAATACTCATAGCATTGTCAGATTTAGAAAAAAAATGAGAAGTCATATTTATTAGAAAACTAATATTTTTCAATGTGTAAGATCTAAAAAGCCTTTCATGTATATGAACTCACTTTTAATCCTTGAAAGAGCACCTGAGTTAGGCATTACTATTCTTTCACAGATAAATAAATTAAGGTATGAAAAGATTGAGTAAATTATAAAATATCCTTAAAACCATCTCTGAATGGTGCCTGGTACTTAGTAAATGCTTAACAAATATATCTTCCTAATTTAACCAGAGGTCATCCAGGTGACAAATCCAGGACTCTTTTTTTTTTTCTTCCTAAAACACTTTTAGAAGGTGTTCTCATGGGAGAGAACCTTATGCTGTGCTCCGCCCCCCCCATGCCTTTGCCTCAGTAGCTGATGGCAGAGAGGCAGTGGAGAGCCGAGCTGACCCCAAGGTCCTCATTATTTCTTGCCTGGACACTCCTCTCACCCCCTTCGCTCCTGCCTCAGGCTCTCGTGGCAGCAGTCCATCCCCCCCCTGTACCCATGCTCATCTTTCGACCTCAGATACCTCAGCACCTCTCTCCTTACCCTCAGGGTAAAAATCTAAGCTCAGTTTCTAGAAAGTCCTTCAAGAATGAGGCCCCTGATATGGATAGATAGATAGATAGATAGATAGATAGATAGATAGATAGATAGATAGATGATAGATAGATAGATAGATAGATGCGATGGAATATTACTCAGCCATAAAAAAGAATGAAATCTTGCCACTTGCAACAATGTGGATGGAACTAGAAAGTATAATGCCAAGTGAAAGAAGTCATTGAAAGACAAATGGCATATGATTTCACTTGTGTGGAATTTAAGAAACAAAACAAACAAGCAAAGTAAAAAAAAAAGACAAACCAAGAAATAAGACTTTTTTTAAAATTTTTATTTATTTATTTGTCAGAGAGAGAGAAAGAGAGCACAAACAGGGGGAGCGTCAGGCAGAGGGAGAAGCAGGTTTCCCTGCTGAGTAGGGAGCCCGATGCGGGGCTCGATCCCAGGACCTTGGGATCAGGACCTGAGCCAAAGGCAGACGCCTAACTGGCTGAGCCACACAGATATCCCCAAGAAACAGACTCTTAACTCTAGAGAACACACTGATGGTTACCAGAGAGGAGGACCGTGGGGGGAATGGGTGAAACAGGTGATGGGGATTAAGGAGGACCCTTGTTGTGATGAGCACTGGGTGTTGTATGTGTTTAATCACTATATTGTACACCTGAAACTAATATAACTATACTAGA